TTTCATCATTAGCCAAATGACCTTGTCCACCTTCATTACTGACTTAAAATTTAAGTCCGTCAAATGATCTAACTCAACTGGCTGCAACGTAAAGTTGACCATGCGAAAAAACAGGTCTCCTCAACAATATTCCAACTCTATCAAATGTCTGTCCTTGGGATTTGTTAATTGTCATAGCAAATGCGCTGATGACTGTGGAAACTGTGTTCTTTGAAAATTAAATGGCAGTGCAGTCCCTGAATACGTCAAGTGTATGCGTGGAATCAAAACACGTTTTCCGCGAGCAACTCCAGTGAGTACTTCACAATCTATTGTGTTATTATGCATTGCTTTGACTCGCAGCAATACCACTAAATGCACACGAAATACAGCGAAGATTAAGGGAATTTAATTTACGAATTATAGCCGTTTGTGTGAATGTTTTCCCACAACCTGCATGGGATGTCAAACAAAACACATTTGATCCTGTATGGTAATACTGAACTTCACGAATAACTTTATCAATAGTATCACGCTGTTCATTATTTGCGCAATCATAAAGCTCATTAAATAAACATTCTTCTACGAAAGGATCAAAAATATCGAGATCAGCAAATTCTGGCATTATTGTAGGTGTAGGCAAACCAAGTGACGTACATGTAACATTATGTGTTAACAAAATATCCTCGATTTCCAATAATACTCTATTAAAAGAAACATCTACACTACAACCATCTCTAACGAAATCTTCGCTTAAATGATCTCTAAATTCCACCCAAAGCGCTAATGCATTTGCTGGAATATTGAAGGCACAATTAATCGCAAACAAATTACGCATTTGTTTTCCTGAGTTAAATGTCTTAGCTTCATTGAGAGAAACTCTCCACTCGTTATAATTGGACGCAATTACCCTAGCATGACATGCTTCGATAAATGTCCTATAAACAATTCCATTGAATGTACGCACATCTTCATATGATTTTGGCCCTTTTACATGCAACAAAAGTAATCTTAAATGGAATTGCTCAATTTCTTTGGGAAACACCATATACATCCGAGTAATAATTTTATCTCCTCCTCGTTGTCTTTTTTGCCAAGATTTTCTACTATCAATCCAAACATAATGCAATGAAATTTCTATATACGTATATTGATTAGCAGATGAATCACTTTGATTCAATTGAAAGAAAGCTAATAGCTTCGTAAGCTTAGGATTTTCTACTGCTTGTCTTTCTTGGTCTTCGCGAAATATAATATTTTGTCTTTGTGTCAAATGAATGTGAAGACGAATTATAATATGAGACTGAAAATGCATAGGAAATTCATATATTCGCCACATAGCCTCAGTTGATCCCACATATCGACCATTCAAAAAATTTCTAACGTCATCTACTTCAACTTGTACTTGTTAGTCATTTTCGTTTGTGCTTTCACTTTGAATTAAAACAGTTGCACTATCAAAACCCTTATATACATATTTATATATGTACTTAATACTTTTGACGGAAGTGCACACCTCGACATTAATGTGACAATTATATTTTGCAAACAAATACGGGTTGTATGGAACGACATAACGATTATCTAGAGACTTTCCTCTAACATCAACGGAAACATTATTATCGCGCCGTCTATACAACGGATAACCATTAACTGATTCTTTCGTTAATTGCACAAAATCCTTTGGAAATTGTTTTGAATATTTTCCATCTTGCATACATACAGAGCTTGGATTCAAAACACCGCAAGGACCGTGCATCATGTGTTTGACAACAAATTCATGTAATTTTGGCTGCAAATTTTTATCCGGTATCTCTGCACAAACTATTTTATCAATATCAGCCGACCCGACAATTTTGTGATTTTCACATAAAGTTATCAAAATGTGAGCATGAGGCAAACCTCTTTTTTGAAATTCGATTGTATATATAAGAGCCTCAACTTTGCCAAAAATATATTTATTCCAAATGTCAGAAATGAGTTCTTTTAACTTCGATTTAAATACACGCACAACTATTTCAGGCCTGAAATGAGATGATTCATTAGGATCAATATTATATACAATTTCCGCCCAATTCTTATTGCAAGTCATTGTAACAAAAAGCGATGGCTTGCCGAAGTACTGAACAATTGACATTGCATCTAAGTAATTTTGATACATGTTTCTCGGAGACCCAGTGAAGGATGAAGGCAAAATCACTTTACGACCTAAGCTACCATCTCCTACTTGATTCGTTTGCAAATAATCACTAATATTGTTATACACATCTGCCCTCAAATTTACTTGATTCTGTCTTATAAAATGTAGTCGACATACTTCTATTCTCACATACATATCAACAATGTATTGCAAAAATAGTTTTTGCGATTTATGCAAAAAGCTAAATTGATCCCTTATTGCAAATCTGAAGCATGCAAATTGTAACATTGTAACTTTATTTCGAATCTGCCTACCATTAGAATTATGTTGCACGTTATGCGATATATTAACGTGCCAACCAAAATCTCCATTTGGGAATAGTAAAGGATATGCCAATGGTTCCAAAGCAGAATCTAATACTAATACATTCTTAACTACACCATTTGTTTTTAAAAAAGATATCATATTTCTCTCAAATGGTGGTTCACCATCTATAGTCGTAAATATTATATCTTCGTATATCTGTATCACGATTCACGATAATTGCCATACAAATCTCTTTTTGTGCATTGCATACTCTATCATAATGTTCTTTCATTGTACAAAATGAATATCTCTCGAATTGAAGTGTTGTTAATGTCGATTCAACCAATTAATTAACCTTAACTATCACACAATTCACAATTAAAATTCATCACAATTAAAATTTAACTATCACACAATACACTTGAAATAAATCTAAAAATTTCAAACTCATTAACCTTAACTATCCACATTTCACAATTAAAATATATCACAATTAAAATTTATCAAAATTAAAATTTATCACAATTAAAATTTAACTATCACACAATGCAAATAAAACGATTGATATCAAAGGATATTTCCACTTCAATGCGTTTTTTTTATTCACAAACAATATTTGAAATTTAATGAGCTTTAAAAATCTGATTGTAACAGAATCCACAAAGTCCAAACACACAAAGTCCAAACACACAAAGTCCACTTTTTTCCAAAAGTGGAAAAAAATCGCACACACAAATCCACCGTAAACAATTAACAATTCGTCACAAAAAAAAACTTTGAAAAACACATGTATTTTGTTGTTGTAGTCGCTAAATTTACGCCAACGCATTTTTACCTGTGTTTCCGTTAACGTACATGCGAAAAAATAACGTTGTGCTCTTCTGCACGTCTTCACCTTTCCAACGGTATAAATTTTATCCATATATGTCAACGGCAACACAGTTAAAACGGGGTAACAAACTTTTATGTTAGCGTAATTATATATAGATTTACTCACTAGACATCACATCAATCATACGTATGTTATCTATTAATGTTATAACTTCAACTTCAAACAATAATTTGAAGAAAAATGCTTATTGTATTCTATAAATATTAAAATTATATGTTATCATGCTCTTCTCCCGAGATATGAAGATTAATTAAATATAGGTCAAGTATTATAAATAAATAGGAAGTTTTAAAAACTGAAAATTTTCACTTTTCACTCTCCTATTAAAAGAAATTAATTAAAAAATAGCAGAAAATCCATTCTCTACGAATAAAACTAGTAGCTTCATAAATTAACTCTGGGTCATTAACATCCATAACCTGGCTTTAAAATTTACTAAGCTCAGATAATTTAAGGCATTATGTAGTAAATGACTGTATTAAAATGAAATGCTTTGCTTGTGTGAACAACTATTAATTTAGCTTGGATAACTAGATAATATATAATTATATATATACTTTTAAGAAATATAAGATTTCTAGTAAAATATTTTTCGTCTGACCTTGTATGTGCAGCTACAACACGAGGTTATCACAATAATTATCCTTGAACAGCAGTAAACTTTCTAAAGCATCAACATACTCATCCTCTTCCACTCTATCAACTCCAACATTTTGAAACGATGTAGTTTTGCAGTTTTCATTTGCTAAGCTTCACGATGCAATGTGTCCACTGTATTCCCTAACTCAATGGAACACTCGTTGTTCCTGGTTATACTATCCTTTCCGCTGGTTAACCTTTTGTTGTTGTTGTTGCATTTGAGACGACATTGCAAATCCTGCTGCTACCCATTTGGCCCGACGATAAACGCGATCTTGGGTGGTGATTTGAATAAATATAGGCGGAACCCGTATGGAATCAGACATAGGTTCATCTAAATTATTTAAAATAAAAAGCTTTTGAATTATTTTAAATTATCATAACTTACTTGAGTTTTCTAAAAGTACGAGTATATTTTTAGATATATTCGTCATTCAAATATTTAGAGGCCAGCCGCTAAATCCATTATAACAATCAAAAATTGTTTAGAATCCTTGCAAATATTCGCACTCCTCCACATATTGCCGTATTTTGTCACAAAAGTCATCACTAAACTGTTCAGTTTTCCACAATTCAATGCCACAAGAATATGTATCAAAAGTTTGGTTGTCTACTGAATGTTTAAAATTGTTCACAACATTTACGGTTCATGGAGGACCGGGTTATGGAGGATAACCCATGAATTGATATCTTCAGCTACACTGTAATTAGTTTCTTCTATATATGCATCTGGATTGTCCACCAAGACTTTTTAATATGAATTTCTGGCTTTTCCCATAACTCCGAATTGTTGTCACACGGCAAATGTTTAAGAGCGTCATTCATATCCACGAACATCTAACGAGGAGTGTAATTAGTTTGACGTTAAAATAAAAAATTATATATAATTAAATATAAATTACTTCAAAAGAAAGTTGACATATACGTACCTAAATAAAAATTTAAATAAAAAAAATCAGCCTATTTGACTTCTTAATTTAATATAGTTAAAATTATTTTATCCAAATTACAAATTATTAATTATTATTCTATTATAAATTTTAATTTCTATTATTTCTATTTCGTAATTTTCTTCCAAAAATTTGGCATCGTGATTTCGTGAAAATGTCGTCGGACGCATGGGCGTCATGAACAAAGGACTCAACATGAAATAACAACTGCATTGAAAGATAATCTGTGATGGCAGGCATCTAGCCAGAGGGGGATCAAAAGGTTGAATTCCTATCCTATTCCCGAAACGAATTGATTAACTATATTTTTATATATGTATAGTCATTATTCATGACAGACTAATAAAAAAATATTTTAAATTACAGTTTTCACTCAATACCTACAACCGTCAGTCTCACTTATTTGAATAAAAATTTTCCAAAAAGTTGAAATCGACGCCTAAATCAATCTAAGAAAATTAGGTTAACTGCTTAAAACCTAATTCCCTCAATTGTTGTGTTGTATTGGATCGGCGCTATTGTAAAAAGAACTAAATGAATTATTATAATTGATGACTACTCCTCTGTGTATTTTATTAAATATTTATGGAATACTCAAGTGTTGTTTTTTTTTAATTATAAGTTGGCTACGAGTATTAGAAGGTAGACTTTTAAAACTTTAATAATATGTATTTTGTTGAATTTTTTTTTACATATAGTATTAATACTATTTCGTTCTTTTGGGAATAGTTTTAACTAAAATATCTTATTATTATTATTGTTATTACAAAACTAAAATAACAATGGATAAAATTTTTATTGGAACTTTTCCTTATACTCGTAACTCGTTTCTAAAATAATTTATAAACCTGAAAATCTCATTCCTAGTCAAATTCTTTAAACTTTGTCAGATCGTCGATCGCCAGTACGGATTCTCCTTAAGGTACACAACAATACCAAATTTAATGAACAAATTGTTAATTATGTCGTCAACAATAAAGCCAAACTAAAATTTAAATATTTTAATATATTTGGGGATAAGCTAGAAATTTTTAATAAGCTGAATAACGAAGATATCTGTTAAACTTACCTAAGGTGCTATTAGCATTTAATTCATGTATTTTCAAACTCTTTCTTAATATCACAAATTGCAAATTCTATAAAAGAGTATTTAAAAAGGACAACATAACTTATTTTGTATTCTAAGATCACGTGTTCATATAAATACAGTCAAACTTCCATAACTCAAACTGAAAAGAGTGCAACAGGCTCTTAGAGGGCCAATTTTATATAATTCTGCTTCCTTAACTCAAACTTCTATAACTCGAATTTCTCTATAACTGTAATAAAAATATTGTCACGTGTTAAAAGAAATATGGGAAAGTGCATTCTATTTGGCCAATTTTCTATATGGGACGAACAGGACAACTTTTCTTTAATTCTTTGGAATAACATTGATGAAGGCCGTGAAATGATGTAAAAGTAAAGAGAATAAAGTAACTTCCAATGCTAGTCTTAAGCATTATATTATATTGAGCTTGACAATGAAACTTGTACATCAAGCTTTCCTACAGATAACGATATTATTGAGCATTATAGTTCTTCTCATTATAGTGGATACGATTCTAAGCACAACGGAAAGTGATGATGAGGGCTCGGTAGATGAAATTGTTCATCAGCCCTACAAGAATGAAGAAGAAGACTCTTTCAAAAATCTGAATTTTCATTTGCAAACGAATGATACTACAACTGATGATCACTATAAGGCTTGAAATAAATTAAAATCTCTTTTTACTGAAAATAAGAAAAAAAATTATAATCCCAAACCCTAATTTCTGAATATTTGACTTTACTATAACTTTTATACTGTAATTGATTGTAAATAATAAATCTTGAAATATAATTCTAGTTTCTTTCAAAAATAAAAAAAAAAATTAAATAAAAAATAAAAAAAAAATAAAAAAATTCTTTAACTCGAAGTCTCCATAAGTCAAACATTTTTTTTGCAACATGATACTTGGAGTTATGAAAGTCAGCCTATATGTACATAAGTGAATTTAATACTACAGTTAGTTGGCTGAGATATTTCAACTAATCGTAGAAAATAAAATATTAGAAAAAAATAATATATAATTTATGCAGTAACTATTTTCTTTCTCAAATTCTCACCAGAAACTTTGTCTTCAAATATTTGAGAGTTGTCTTTAATCTCCATTTGATCATTCGGTTTCCGAATATTTGACAGGCAACTGCGCATTTTACGTGATGCAAGTCCGCCGTTTTGGTCTTTCGGTTTACGAATATTTTACGCTTAGCGCGTTTACTTCCCGAATGTCTGATAAACGATTTCTAAATTTAGATTATAACAGTCCTTATTTAGTCATTTCGCACTATAAATTTTGTGTAACGAACACGCTCTTCACGTAACGCAAATCGTGCTTTTTCACGAATGTTTGCCGATTTGGGTCCATGAATTTTTGCCAAGCGACCACATTTTTTTTCACTATTAACTATTAAAGATGTAATCACCTTTTTAAGCCGGCCATTATTTCTTTATTACTAATGATTCATCACCTTTTCAGGGCGACCACGTTTCTTTAAATTATTAATTTCTATATTGCCTCTAACTTTCATTTTCACTACAATTATTCCGACACACGTCCGAACCAATCAAGATGTACAAATAGAATGAGTTTCGTTCAGCTTCCGTTTATACATTCGTTTCCAATAAGTTCCTTTTATATAATAGTGTTGCCATTAATAACCGATTTTAAAAGCCTCAATCAAATGTTGTCTTTTTCAGATGTGAATATGGAGACATTCACACCAATTCTTTTAGTTGGTTACAACGTCCAATTCATATCCTAATAGGACTTTTAATTGTTATTTTGATGATATATAACCCAATACAAAGTAATTTTTGGTAAAAACTATTAAAATGAGGTTTAACAATCAAAATATATATTTCAATTAATAAATTTCTTGAATTAACGAAAAAAACTTAAACATTATGATATAAAAAGCTGCAGTATTTTTATTACCAAAACAATATACTAAATATGAGTATTCATTATATCTAGACTACTATATTAATTATATTGGAATTAGAAACATTTCAATAACAAAATACAGTATTACTGTGAACGAAACACGATATAAGATCAAATATCCATTATATCTAGCGTAAAATAATCTGAAATTCAAAATTTAAAGGAGGTTGACACCTCTCTATATCTTCATAGGAGACAATATAATGTATCGTTGAAATGGAATATCCAAGGAATATTTCTGGAATATTCTAATTTCGCACAGCTGAATTTTAGAGCCCATTCAAGTTGGTGAATTCACTTTTCAAGAAGTTGAAAGCGCCAAATACCTGGATGTCCTCATTAATAGCAACAATAACATCAGTGTTTGTTTAAAATAAAATAGTTCATAGGATTTCAATACAATATAAGAATCTATATCTAATTCCAAGATTACAAATAATCAAAATCGTGTAAATATTTAAAGTAATTCTCAAAGACTTGTAAGGATGGAAATTTTGTAATAATTTCCAACCTACATAAATTTAGTAACACCACCACTTTGAACAAAATACGTGAAGTAATCTGTAATTAGGAGGAAACATTTTAATAATAAATACAATAAGGTATATGAATAAAAATAACAATATAACATACCTTTATTATTTTTCCACATAAATTTATTTAAATTAATAAATAATAATTTATTTATAAATTATTTATTATTTTAGTTATAAATAATTCAACCATATTAAATAAAAACACGAGCACCGCCGCTTTTTATAAAAATGTAAACAAACATTTACAAACGTCAAAAATGTCAGAATGCAATTCGCTGCAAAAAGATGCACAAGGAAGCTTTTGTGCAAAAGTGTTAAAGTGCATTAAGTTCAACTAAGATCAACTCAAAGCTTTGTTGCTTTACACAAAAAGTTCAAGAGGATGCGTATAAAAGACGATGCAATTTTCTAAGAATTTAGTGAGTCTTGTATGATCACTCGGTGGCATTGTATGTCAACATATAAAATAAATAAATATTTAAAAAAATGACACAGTGGCGGTTTTAAGCCTAGTTGTATAAATTACTAAAATATATATATAATTGTGTAGAAGTGCATGGGCGGTTTTAAGTCAAGACACTTGGACACTATTGTATAAATATTCATTTATGTTGAAGCACATAAAAAGGGCTTAAAGATTAATGCGACACAGAAGCTTAATCACTCCTTCAAACAGAAGATTTCATACGACGGATTAAGATAACCAAACCGTCGATTTCATCAATTACATTTCAAATTAAACATTATATTATAATATTATAGGTATAGGCTGATATCGACTATTTTAGTCTCCGTTGTAAAATATTCCTAATTAATTGTCGCAATTGAATAAAATTGAAAAATAATATTTCACTAGCAATTGCACAAAAATTGCTAGTAAAAAACAAAACAAAATTTTGTTTTGAATAATACGATTTTAGTTAAAATTTATCAAAATACAACAAGCAAAGTTTGAGAAATGAGCGTAAGTGAATAAAAAATATATTATTAAAAAAGTATTGCTAAATAAATACTTTTAGAAAAAAATAATTAAAAAAAAATCGCTTACGACTGGAGTTGCCCGTAACCCAAACTTTTGCACCGAAATAAAGCAATTAATGGCTGGAATGGGTGTAAAAGAATATAGCACGGAAAGTGTTAACCAGTTGAATGATCTATTAATTAATTTCATAAAAAATTTGACGAAAGCAGCAATTAAAAATGCATCTAAGACGAAATTGGATGCCCCAGCTATCCTGAAGGCTCTTAGCTATGATTCGGCAAAACACGATCAGGCACAATACATAATACAATCTGAAGAATTGATTGGCAAAACACGTCGGGATGTATCTGGAACAAAAATGAGTATGAAAAATCTTAATAAGTTAGTTTGAAAAAATAAGAATCAGACGCAGATAAATTATGTTTCTGTAGTTTTATTGATTAAATAAAATTAGCTGAAGAAGTTAATGACTTATTACTAATATTAATTTTCAATACAAATCGACAAAATTGGCTTATGTTAGTGTATAGACTGGGGTTCTTGTACAGTTAGGCTAGTGTGCAGTTTACTTGCTGTGTTGTGAAGCATATATTCTGTTCTATGTTAAATTTCAAGGTAGACATATTAAAAAAACTTAAACGCGTTATAACACAATATAAATTACTTTGTTAAAATGATTACATTGCTATATGGATAAACTAAATAACGATTCTGAAATAACAATCGGTCGTACTCAGCTGACATGCGTTAATGTGATTTTTCTACTGCAGAAGTAATTGAAGACAATGACCACGAAAAATATTTGACGGATTCAGTCAATCGACTATATTGCAACAGTTAATTGCAAATACAACAGTTATT